CTCTCCGGATAGCGCCGCGGGGGTTGGCCAGCCGCTGCCGGGCTTGGCCGGGGTGGAAGCTCGGGTCTGGGAGGGAGTCACCAGCTGGCTGGTGGGGGGAAGTGGCGGCGTTGGGGAGATCCGGAGAGAACTTTCCTCTGCAGGTGTGTGAGTGTGAGTGCGTGTCACGGTGTCTGTGATGAGTGTGTGAGTGTGGCACCGTGTGGGTCCGTGGGTGATGATGTGTGCCAGCGAGTGTATGCAGCGAGTGTGTGTGTGTCATTGTGGGCGAGTGTGTGTGCGTGTCAGTGGGTGTATGCAGTGTGACTGTGGAGGGTGTTACTGTGAATATATATCTGTGGACATGTGTGCGAATGAGTGTGTGTTGTCACGGCATGTGCCTGTGTATGTCTCTGTGAGTGTGTGTGTGTGTGTGTGTGGGTGTGTGTGTGTGTGTAGAAAGTAACATTTTGGTGCATGGGGCAAAAGCCCCAGGAGCACACAGATTTTGAGCTGTAATCTACTGTGTCTCTGTGAGTAGCTCCTGGTATCTGTGGCCTGTATGAGTGAGTGTGTGTGTGTGTGTGTGTGTGTTGGCTGTGTGAGAATGTATCTGAGGAGAGTTCACTCTGAGTCGCCCACATCTGGGCTTCCTTCTCTGCCTTCCTCTCCCAGGGGATTTCAGAGGTCAGAGCATCCCCTCTCACCAGGGGCTCTTCCTCCTGTGTCTCCTCAGGCAAGAGCTGAATTGCACTTGGCCCCACCTTCACCTACCTCAGGGGTACTTTCTGTGATGCTCTGGTTGTGTCCTTGCTGCATGCTGGGGCCCCTGGCGGTAGTGGGACCCCGGGTGAGCTAGAGGATGTGTGCTTCTTCTTGGGGCCCGGAAACTTGTGTTGTCTCAGTCCTGTTTCACCAAAGGACCATTAGAAACGGGAACCGAGCAGGCCAGGTAGAAGCGCCTGCCCTGTTCCTAGTCACCGGAGCAGGTGGATGTCCACCAGACTTCTCAGCCCTGAATTTACAAGTTCTAGGTCATTGGTTCAATCTACTGGCTCTAGGTGGGTCTGTGCTGAAGCTCTCTGAAGTAGTCGTAGTAGAAATAAATAAATAAATAATAAATAAAATAAATAAAAACGGTGCCTTTACATCAGCCCAGGACTTTGGAAACATGCTTCCCTCTCAAGTCTTTCTTTTCATCTCCCCAACAGCTCTGGGAACCAGAGCCAGCTTAAGCCAGGTGAAATTGCAAATATTCAACTGCTTTTGTTTTTTATTTACAAAAACAGCAATTTCATCTAGCTCAGCCTAATATAATGCCAATTTATAGATGAAGATGTTGAGGCTCAGAGGTAAATTGTATTTTCTGTAATCCATAGTCAGTGGTACAGAAAGGCTCCAACCGAGGTTTTTGGTGACAGAAGGAGCTGTGTTGGGCCAAGGTTAGAGAGTGGTACTCCCTGCTGTGCGCTCTTGATCCTGGGGGCACTGACCTCCACCTCTGCCCAGCATTTCATGAGTGCTGGGGCTCCTTCTGCACCCAGCTGCCAAGTCCTAAATGGGAGAAAGGGAGAGATGAGAAGAGAGAGGGGAGGGAGAGGGTTTGTGAGTTTGCAGTGAATCAGGGTCTAAAAAGGGAGTTGGGAGGGCTAGGTGGCAGGTGTTTCTAAAAAGAACATGAACATAGGATGAACAACTTTACATACTACCCCTGCATGCTCGACCCCCACTTAACCCCCTCATCTGACAGGCAGTGCCCACTGCATTTTATGCCAGGGGGCTCATGTCCAAGGAATGAGCTTGTATGTCACTCTAAAATGATGGTGAGGGGAGGAAGCTTAGCATTAACTTGTCCAACCTCTTAATTATAAAGTGAAGATACTGAAACCCAGAGAAGGGAGGGGATTTGCCCAAGGTCATAATGTGTAGGTTCCTGGCTAGTCTTAGCCCAGGAACTTTATAACCCTCCATGTTGCTTTCTATTCCTGGAAACCCTTTCCCCTCCCCATGCCCATTGCAACTGAGCAGAGATTTAGGGAGAAGCATTGAAGACTCAATACACCTAAGACTAAAGGGGTCCTTCAACCTGGGACCCCTTTCCAAAGAGAGGGAGCTACAGATGTTTCTGGAGATGGGGATTCCTAGCCATACCCACCATCAATGTAGACCATGGGCTTGTCTTGATTGCTGCTGGCTATGCGCTGGAGCTGCTGCAGGCCAGACTCCCAGACTTTATTCTGTGACAGCGCCCGCTTTCTGCTGCTGCTGCCTGGCACCTCACATCATCTCTCTCCTGCTGATGTTGATGCTTGAGCTGGCTGCGCTACATTTTCTTTCATCCCACCCAATTTCTGATGCATTTTGCTTCTGGCTGGCCTGACAGTTCCTTACTTTATGAGTTCCTGTTGGGTAGAGAAACTTCTGGGGCTTGTTCAATTTTGGAAAGGTCTGATGTTACCCTTAACCCTTCTAATTAAACCTTCCAGGAGTCTCGGATAAATTATAATGACAATGGTTCCCATTTTACAGATGGGAAGACTGAAATTCAGAGAGGGGCTTCTTGTTTGTTTGGTTTTCTCTTAATCTACTAAGATCAGTAGTGGAAGAGGTTCCTGGAGTGAGGGGACAAAGGGAGCAAATGAGAACAGTAGCTTTTGTCTGGAGGAGCTTGTACAGGCAGGCCCCTTCCAGTGTCTTCCCATTCCCATGGTCAGGAAACCTTCTCAGGGTCTGACTTCTTTCCCACTTGGTGGGTTCAAAGCTCGTCTCTCAGTGAGGGTTGGAAGAACAGCTGTGAAACCTCCACTATCCAAGCATTTGTCTCAATTCCCCCTTTACCCACCCTCCCTCCAGTCTGAAGGCTGCTGGCTCAGCGGGCCTCCCGCTGTCTGGGGAGTCTGGGTTTGAGCTGGGGTGAGGCACTGGCACCATTGTTATGGTAACGACCTGCCAGCTCATCGTTGCTAATAACTTGTCAAGTCCCTGGGCTCAAATGCAGCATGCCTTCCCACCAGCCCTTCTCCCCATGTCACAGAAAGAAACAGTGAGGCTGTGAGGGAAAGGTCTGTGAAAAAGGGAGTCTGGGGAGGTGGGTGGCCTTGTATTGGGGTTGTAGCTGAAGAAACGGGAAGGTCACTTGGGGGCTGGTTTATGCATATGGTTACATAATTTGCATATGTAATAGGCTGTTACATGTCAGTACACTCAGAACATTCTTGAATAAACCTGTACATGCAAGATGACATGTTCATGTGCTTTTACACAGCAGCCCACATGCACATATGTTTCCAAGCATCAGAACATGAATACTGCCTCTACCATCTGCACATAAGGCACCCAAGAAATCTGGGTTTGTGGGGGTGTCCAGGTATGTGGGTTGGGATCTGATCTTTTTCTGATGCAGCTTCAAAGTGTCTTGTTAACAAAAGGACAGAATAGTCCCAGGGTTTCTGCTTCCTTCTTTCCAGTCAAGAGCTCAGAATGGGAGTAGGCTGGGGATGGTGTGGGGGCCCTAAGCTCCCAGCTCCCAAAGGCCCCTGCCTCTATGCCCCTTGAGCTCAGGTCTCCTCTGCCCCCTCACTCTCTATTCTTTCTCATCCTCTCCTCGCCCTGTGTGTAAATATTAAAGAGCTGAGCCTGCAGAGCTGATGTAGACATGGGGAGAGAATGAAATTAAAAAGGATTCCCTCACCCCCATCCCAACACCCCCACCCTGCAGTCCCCCGCTCCTGCCTCCTTCCCTTTCCCTTCTCCTCTCCCCATCACTCAGTGCTTCCACATGTCTCTCCTCCCCCCAGTCCAGATGGGAGCTGGCTCCTTCAGAAAGGGGGCTTAGAACTGGGTGTGGGGAGCTACCTCTCTCTGTCTCCCTCACTACATCTGCCTGCAGGGCTGGGAGCCCCCACGTGAGTATTTCTTTTATTTTGGGGGGGGTGGTTAGGAAGGAAAGTGGTGTTTAGAACCAGCTGTGAGTGGCGTGAAGAAGCTCAGGGCTGAAAGGAGGTGGGTGGGGTCCTGTCTCTAGGCTCCCTCAGGGAAGCCTCATGTCTGGGTTTCTTTTCTCTCTTTGGACAGAGACTGAAGGGAGGGCTACCAGATGCCTCCGGTGGATGGGAGCGAGTATGGGAGGGGCTGGGGGAGAGGGGCTCCTGTTCTAAAGAGGTGTGTGTTAGGGTAAGCCTGTTCCTTTCTGGCAGGCTGGGTTTCTGGCAGGGCGTCCTGCAATCCTTGGGAGCTGTCCCGAGTGCTGAAAGGGACTCGGGGGGGGGGGGGGCTGCTCGTTTGGAACTGTCCTGGGTCCTGAATAGGCCTGCGTCGGGGCCCGATGATGAAAAGGCGGTTGGGCAGTACTGAGGGCTCACTAGAAAAATTCTCCCAGATGACCCACTTTTCAAGGACAGAATTCCTGGATGGAAACATAGATTTGGGGGGTCCTCCCTCTGGCTTTAGGCCTCACAGTTATTAGTGGTATTTGGGAAAGGGACTCTTCTTTCCCTGTTTAAGTTCTCCCTCCCCTTTCCAAAATTACCCTACTGTTACTGTGGGGGTAGAGATGGAGGATGATGTTGTGGCTGTGAGCAGCCTTCACATAGATGGTTTTAGTACAATAATCTTGGGGGTACTGGCACCAGCCTTTCTCCAACTGGGTCCCAGAAATTCAGGCTCAAGGCAGTTTTGGATTAGGAGAGCTTAGGTTTTGCTGGTTAGGCCTTGGGTGGTTAGAGGTCGAAAGTTTAGGATAATTTGATTGACTATGTGACATCCCCCTACCCACCATACTTTTGAATTTGGGACAGGGTACAGTATAATATCCTGCCAGCCTGCCTTATGCTCTGCCCACCCCAACCACAGCTCAGAGCAGCATTTGGGGAGGCTTTTATTGGGAAGGAAGATTTCTAAGCAAAGGATTCAAGGAGTGGGTGGGGTAGTTCAGTGCCATGGAGCAGAGAAGGAGGAGGCTAGTGAAGAGATGGGGCAATGAAAAAGAGGAAGAGCTGGCAGAGAAGGAAAGAAATCAAATTTGGGGACAAGGTCTTGGTTTCGATCCTAAGTTCCCTTGTAAATCTTTTCCCCACCAACCTAAGGTCAGGGTTATCTCAATTTTCTGGGTTTTTACACTCTGTCTTTGTAACACTGAAGGGAATCGAGCAGGGACATTTCTCCAGGCCCCTTCCCTTGTCTTCCCAGGGGCATGAGAGCCAAATGTCAGGACATGCAGATGAGACTGTGGGGGAGCAACAGGCAGGAAGGGTTGAAGGCAGCTTTGCCTCCCATCCTCATGAGCACAATCAAATATTCAAATGGGATCCTTCTTGAGGGGAGAGGAATGAGAGGGTTTCCAGATGACGCTGGGCACAATTAGGTGTGGCAGGAAGTTCAAGAAAAGAGGTATCTAGGGACCATAAACTGAACCCATTCAGACCTTCCCAGATGTGACTTCTAGGTAATAAGGAACGCTTCACCCATCGTGTTTTTGATGTAACTCATCAAGTTGATTCCTTCCATTCTGTAGCTCCTTGGGAGGAGCGGAGCTTTCCTATGCTGTGGGTGCTGGGAGGTGGTGGGCGTGGGTGTGGGTGCCTGTTTGGGGAGGGGAGGTGTTTGTGCTTCACTCAGCTCCCTTGGTTACATAACAGCTTTGATAAGACTTTACTTTGGAGCGGCTGCTACTGCCTGAAGCAGTCACCCCTCCACCCCCACGTGGAATGCTGGAGGTCCACCCCCTTCGCCCTGGCCTCTCGGAGAGTCCTGCTATTCATAATCCAGTATTCCAGCAGCAGATTTCC